AAAAGAAAAGAAATTCTAATGACTACAACTTTTCACAGTTACAGTACACGAAACGCGTAGCCCAGCTTTTCCTGTTATCATTATTATTATTTTTATAATTATTATTATTATTATTACTTTTGTTATTATTATTATTATTATTATTAATATTATTATTATTATTATTATTATTATTATTATTCAAAAGCTCCAGAGTTAAATAAATATAGAAAGTTTAGTTTTAGAATGTAGCCCGATTCAGAGATATAAGTACCGTTTGATTAAAATAAATAAAAATAATAATTATTTCATTGTCAGCCTTGAATTCCAGCGGGTTTTCTGTTTATTAAACCAAGCTTGTAAAGTCATCCACAGCACATTTACGAAAAAACTGTTTACAACCCTCTGTTTAATAACGTGTAAATTGGTCAGAACGCTAAACGTGAGGGAAGCAAAGTGCGCTTTCTAATAGCCCACCCAATTTGTGCTCAGCTTAATACTTCACATACAAATTCTACACGCTGATTTGTATACATTTTCTCTAAGTTTTTGTTGAGAAAATAAAGGATTTTCTTTTCGATGATCGTCTTATTGTAATTCTCATAAACGTTTCTCGTGATGATGTATGGATACTGTTGGTCACTTTTTGAAGGGTAAAGGTGGCTCGATCCCCTTTTTTTTTCAGTGATAACACCTTCATTTTTAAAACAAAAGGAAAAATCTCTTGAAAAAGCAGGAAACCGAAACTTGCAGGGTTTCAAAAATGTATTTTTTATCGAGTTCGACTTATACATGGTAACACGGTAACGCAATAACCATTATAAATACGCTTCCTAAATTTTTGAGAAATTTAGACATTCGTTTTCGAAACTGCTTATATGATGTGCCTGTTTGGTGTTGTAACAATTCTACGCAATTTTTATGAGAGCGTTTTCAAGCAATTTCTATTTCAAATTTTCTGGCTGCCACAACGAGTTGCGAAACGAATCATACGTAAACAACGCTTTTCCGGTAGGGAGTAAACTTTGGTGAAAATTGTTTTTAGAATTAGGAAAGAAAGAAAGAAGTCGCCTCACCCGATTTCCCATAATATACAGCTTTTCCGAGAAAGGTTGTTGGACTGTGGCTTCTAGTGCCTTTCTTTCAAATTTCTTTAAAGAACAGTGGGCACAATTTGAGCCATTCACAATAGAGAGGAGAAGTCGTTACGTCACGTTGCCATGGTAGCAAAATTTGTGGATGACAACAAACCAAAACGTCACTTAAAAAGTGGATTCGCACTGTTTCAAACTTCATCGATCTTAATCAATTTCATTTAATTTGTCAAATGTTGGCGAAATTTTCTGGGTTAAATTTTAAATTAGGAAGTTTCATGTCGCGGTCGTGCAACAACGGCTAAGAAATGTACAAACAAGCGTGATGCACGTGCGAAGATTTTTGTTTTGCCAATCTAAACGTATTGTTTTTTTGCTGTTCACCGTCGCCATTGCAAAAACTCCCTATTGTTGTCATCCAGAAATTTTGCTACCATGGTAACGTGAAGTCACACTTCTCCTTTCTATACCTTTAGGGATTGTCGCATGCACTTTTTCCGACAACCTTTCAGCATGTTGCACACCTAAACGTCTTTCAAATTACTCGAAAATTAGGGTTAATGTACGTTAAAACATAAGAAAATGGCCGGCGGTATTCCACGTAAACCCAACAGAGGATAGTTTTGTTGAGTACTATATAATATATAGATTTAGCCAGGGCTAAAAGCGAAGCTCCTGTATATTAACTCTAATTTATAATTTAAATCAAACAATAAACTTGTTTTCCTAAATTCAGTTAACTTTGCAAACAGTACAAGCTAAGAGTGAACTTAATCTTACATCGAGGGGATAGACTTATATGTACACCCAAAAAATAGCAATCATCTTCGATCACATTTAAGAGCGCGGGCTCTTGATCACAGTAGATTAGGCCTGGAAAACAAATTCTTGGAAAACAAATCAGACCAATAATCAGGCCGAATTTTTTGCGTTCGACAAGTTTACTTCAAAAAATCTTGCCAACATGCCTGGGGGCGTGTAACCCAACCTTTTATACTTTTTATACATCACATCTGAGGTGAAACAGTACCATGAGGAGCTGTTTTTATCATACAGACCTCGGACAGAATGCAGTATTTCACAATTTTGCAATACAAATTGCACTCACTCAATATTCAGGACGATCGAAGCACGTGTGGGCTTTTAGCGGAACCGTTAAAAAATTTCCAGAATCACCTATACGGCTAGCCGGTTCTCACTTTTGACAAGCGCCAAAGTCGACTGTTTAAATTATGATTAATAGAGTTATACGCTTCAACATAATAAAGAATTTATTATGTTTATTTTTTATTTAATGGTTTTATAACGATGTGTAATCGTCAAAGGCGTTTGATACGCGTGGCATTTTGACTACTCCTGCATGCAGGCGATGTTCATGAGCGACTGAAAACAAACGGCACGGCGATAAAAATTGCAAAAGGGACCACTAACAATCAATAAAAGGAAAATAATTCGGTGAAACATATACAGAGACAACAATTTTCATTCACGAAGACAAGTATTAAAGTGTCTCTGAAAATCCTTGTTTATGTTTTTCATTTTGTAAGCCGGCTTCCCGGTGTTTGCTTTTTCAAAGATGAACTCGAAGCAAGAAAATTGCTCAAAGCTTTCTTTTACAGCCAGAATTATAACTAAATATTCTTTGGAAGGTTTTCTTTCTTTCTATTTGCGGTGAGAAAATGTCTAAAGGCTTTTTAAAGTTCTATAAGCTTATAATCAAACCCGATACTCGGTCAGATCATTGTCTCAAATCTTACATTTAAAAAACGTGCATAAACTAAATAGCCGCATAAACTACGCTCGACTTCATTAAATTAGATATAAAAGACAAACGTGAAATGCAATAATTACTCAGGCTTACCGTTCGAGATGCGCTGGAAACTATCAAGTAAGGCCAGAATCGCTTCAGACTTTTCAACCCTCTTACGCATCAAGCAAGATAGAAAACGAAAACGATGCCATCCGAAATCGGATTTCCGACTTTGACAAGCGAAGTATTTCTCAACCAAAAACCTAGTAAACAAACTAGCCATGAATAACAGAAGACTATTGATAGCAGCTGAATTTCATTTTGTACATTCAGTGGAAAAAGACAGTTTAAAACATCACAAGTTGACACAAAACTCTGTCTTCAGCAAAGTAAACAAGTTTCAAGATGCTGCATAAATTTTACGCATGAACTCACCTGTCAAATTTTGACCAATCAGAGCATAAAAATTGGACGTAGAGCGTGACCAACGCGTGACCTTGGTGAGAAAAGTCAAAAGCAACTAGCCTGTCTTCCCTACCTGTAAAAACTGGCTGAATTTTAGCTTCCGAGGTCAGTTTGAAATCAACATTTTAATTGTGCGGCACATATAAAACACAACATATTTCATATGAATTTAAAAAAATAAACTTGAGCCTGCGATCATTTGAAAGCTAGTAACTTGTCAGCGGATAACTTCAAAAAGATATTCGACCTCGATGGGTCGACACCTGAGCCCGCGATACGGTCAGGTGATACTGGTCAGCGGATACCCTGTTTTGACAGCTGTCAATTGGTCACAACATTGATGTGCAATATATGTGTGCAATATCAGTCTTCCTATGCTCCCAAACTGGCTAGAAAGTGTGAGGATTAAACACTGGTTTCCCTGTGGTGCGGACGGACGGGCGGGCGGGCGGGCGGTGTACGATCACGTGATTACCAAATTTTCTGGGATGGGTAGATATACTTACCAATGGTGCTCCGCAGGCGCGCTTCGCGCGCCAGAGCTCCGCTATTACCTTGAAAGTAAACAGAAAGATAATTTATGACAATGATATATGTAACTTTCGATTACGTCCACATTATTTAAATTCCCGCTAAGAGATTTGTTTCAATTTTTTTCTTTTTCCGAGGGATAACTGAAAACTCTATGATTGATATTTCCTTCTTCAACGCTGAAAGCGTTGTTTTTGATTCGTTTCTTTGTAGCTTCCAAAAATTTTAAATAGCGTTTTTCTCAAAATGCTTACTTAAAAAAAATTGCTTAGAATTGGTGCAACTCAAGACAGTTATATGAATTTCAAATCCCATAAACAGCTTCATAAGCAAATGTCTAAATTTCGCACAATCGAGGATATTTAAAAATTGTCAATGGCGTCACCCTGTTGCCATTGATGCGCCGATCTCAAATAACTTTTTGAAAACTCTAGCCTATACCTTACAAGTGGCTACAATTCGTTTTTCAGCTTAGTGTCATTTCACGGTGGAACCGATGGTAACGTCGCGAAATTTCGTCTGGGCATCTTTGCATGTCGTCTTCAAATAGAGTTCGTGTTCTCCCTGAAACCCTTGTCGATTCGCATCTAATTTGCATTGTTTGACTATTCGAATACACACTTATGTGGTTTCTAAGTAGAACTAACTAAGAGCTAACCTGCACATTCTTTCAGCTCCACACGCATACAAATGTTTGCGTAGAATTCTAAGGGGTAGATTCGGATGTACTGCGCGACTAAAGGACCTCCTCCAGGACCTCGAAGAGCGTTCCAAACAACAGTGTTCTTATCACTATTTCCGGGAAATTTCTGCAATAAGGAAACGAAAAACAGCCTTCACACACTAGCTATATAGCAGCGAGGGTTAAAGAAACAGCGTTACAATTTGGTGAGCTTAAACTGACACGTCAACGATTCGGGCGTCGCTGTACGTATTGCAGTTGTTTTCGTCATGATTGAAGCAGAGTCTACTCAAATTTTCAGTTGAAGTTAATATCTTGCCGAGATTTTATCTCATTTTATTTCATTCTATTTTTTCATTAATGACTATTTGTCTAAGAAATTTATGTAGTTCTTTTAGATTATTTTATGAGGAAAAATGGGTGATATTTAGAATGAGGGGAAAAAAGATAAGAATTTGGGGTGATATGATCGTAACGTCGACAGCATATAAAGTACTTGTGCGGTCAATGGGAATAAATCGGGTAGTTCTTTAATGACATCAAATATAGGAATCATATTCGATTACAGTAGAGGCCTTGGAAAAGAATTCTTGCCAAAAGTGTGGTTCCAGAAAATATTCATACCCCCCGTCACCACAAAGGGAATTTCACTTAGGACCCAACCTTCCCGGAGTTTCCTTATTTTTAAGGAACTCATGACCCCAAACCTAATTTAAAAGCTTATTTTCAAGAAAAAAAAAAAAAAGATTATCAAAGCAACGCACGCGACCAACGGTTTCCATTTATTAAATGATATCACGTAATTGGTGTTCGTTTAAAGAAATACTCTACCTTTCCCTGTAAAGTAGAAAATATGCGGCCACTGGAACTGTAACGCACTGAATAGCTGCTCACAAACTGGTTATTAGTTGTATTCCGACCCTGAGTACCAATCATGCTTAGTTGACGAGGGCTTCCCAAATCAATCTATGTTGAGAAAATAAAACGTAAATCATCATGTTTCCTGGAATCTGGCCCATTTCTAAATAGTTGAAATTCGTAATAGAAGGATAATATATATGATGTCATGTAACACTCAGCATCAACCAATACCTGTTCAGTTGAATATATGAATGCCAATGATAAATTAATCGATAATAATTGAATTTACTATATTGCTGGCTCCTGTTTCCTGATACATGTACCTAAAGGGCCAACTTACACTCGCCCACACCTATCCGCAGACATTTTTGAAAACGGGGTTGTTTCTCCGCGGTTTTCCAAAAAGTATGCATCCATTTGAAACGTATTCAAATCTTTTTTGCCCCCAAAAGTGCTGAAACGATGCAAGAAAAGCTGCGTCCTTTACTGAGTGTGCGCTGTATGATGAATGACATCATTCTATTTAAAAACTACAGCGCCGTTTTCGGCATTGTTTTCCTCTACCCACACGAAAACGACAATTCGGCGTTTCCAAAACCTTCATACGTTTTTTGTTTTCCGAAAACGCCATTTCGTCCCCTCCATAGGTGTTCTTGCTATTTGCGGGAGAAATCTACGCATACAGAGCACGTAAGGACGGGGTCATGAATTTACTGTTATAAAGTTGTATTGAAATTGTTATGAAGTTGTAAGGATCGAAGAAACTGGAAATCAAGTCAACTGTTTTTTGCAATCTACAGAATCGATGGCATTCTTCACCTTCCTATTTTTTTATTTTATTTTATTTTATTTTTCGTCAGCTGGCGTTTATAACTACTTAGTTACCTCCAAGTAACGAGTGACGTTTCCTGTTTTTTTGGCACACCAGGCCCCGACTCCGTCGGTGAGGCCTTTCCCTTTGTAATTATTCAGTCTTCCCTCTGAAGCCCCATGATGTCTGAAACGAGGAAGGATAAATAGCAGCTAAAGATCTATTGCTGGTTTTCAGTGTCACGCCATTCAAAATAGATCAAAATAAAAATCAAAACCTTTCAATAGATAAAGTTCAGAATCTGGAAAATGAAAGGAGGTACATATACAAAGACCCTCGCCAAGATTCAGGTCAGAGGAATATTTTGTATACGAGATATCCGAGGAAACGTTTTACCCAAATTTATAGATACCGAAATTTGCTATAAAAGCGTGAATTTATTCTTCGAGAAACTCATAAACATTAAAGTAATACTTTTTCTAATACATGAACTGTTTAGATAGCAAAAATTCCTGAAATAGGTCATTTTTTTTAACCTACATGACAGCTCTCTTGGGCGTCATGTAAACTGATGCCGCGCCACGCAAAAGCTAAGAAATTCAAGCGTACTCTATCACAAACCCAAGAACCATTTTGGAGCGAAAATTTGTATGAAATTTAGTTTTCAGCTGCTCTAATGCATCGTGAAAGTAAAATCTCGGTAGGATCGATAGTTTTTTAGCGGGGCTCCCACGCGCGCGAAGCGCGCGTGGAACAGAGCCCCATACTCATAGATTATGGTCAACCTCTTTTCGTTTGGTTGTCACGTGATTGACCGAGCGTACGTACGTACGTACGTACGTACGTACGCGTCTACTGATTGTACGGGTGGGGTAGGGGAGACTATCAAAAGGAAGGGAGGGGTGTCTCAGGCGTGTCTTGCCAAGTCCACATCTTTTACATTGGACATTCACAATATGGTCAATTGACAGCTGTCAAAACAGGATAGCCACTGACCAGTATCCCATGACCATATCGCGGGCTCATGTGTCAACTCATTGAGGTGACGTGATTTATTTGGAAGCTGTCCGCTGACGAGTTAATTATTTTACTAGATCGCGATCAATGTTCAGTCTCATACTTTCTAGCTAGTTTGGGATCGGAGCA